AGAAAAAGAACTATAAGAAGAAGAAGGAGGAGAAGAAGAAGAAGAAGAGGAGGAGGGGCGGGGGGGGGGGGACAAGTAGAAAAAGAAGAAAAGAAAAAGAAGAAGAGGAGGAGGAGGAGACCAAGAAAAAGGCAAATGATAATGTTTAAAATGATTCTTGTTCTTATTGGTATTGCTGTTATTGTTTAGTATAGGTGAAATTCGAGATCGCGGTTATAAAATACCATCTGGGTTTGGCCTGTTCTGGAGCCCAGGTATTACCGAGTGTGATAAGAAAAGAATAATTACATGTATATTGCCCTACCCTACCCAATCAATCATACACACTCTGTATAGAACCGTTGGATGTTCGTGACGTCAACTCTTGACCCGCATTCGGTGTTTCTGTGTTTCCTTCTTTGAATTATTTATTGATACCTCGGAAATTCCTCTCTATGCGTCATAGGACACTTCTGACGCAAGCATCGAGTATTCAATGGCTGTTAATTCTTTCTGGAAACTAAAGGGACCGATCCGGGTTTCGGTGAATTTGAACACACACACACACCTGCGAGTTGTTACTGGTCTGGTCAATGTTCTGCCGTATAATTTAGGAATGCACACTGCAGTAGAAACAGCTCTTTACAAATAGCTGCAGGGTGTTGAATGCCGTACAGTATGAATACTAGGCGTGGTAATATTCATAAAATCGTGGTGACAAAACCTGAATAAGTCAGCTGGGTGTTTCGTGAAAAGATAATGCAGTAGTTTGCAGTTTGTATCTGTGAGGGTTTTTAAACATAAATATCACTGGCGCTTCCTGTGGGTCAAAGACGTTTGTATCTGCCTACGTCTAAACTGGTATTGCCTCGATGTAGACCCTGAGATCGATACTGAGCAAAGATGCCAAGTTACCGTGGCTTCTTACTAAGAAACATGTTGACAAAATCGCATTTTAACCGAAGAGATCACAATATTTAATGCCTCTGAAACAAACAGGAGCAGAAAAGTAGAAGCAGAGATAATAATAAGAGATAAATGAGAAGCAGTTGGGGAAGAGAAAAGAAAAGACAAAAAGATGACCTTCCGTTTTCAAAAAAGACAAAAAGATGAACTTCTGACTTCAAAAAAGACAAAAAGGTAACATTCTGACTTTAAAAAAGACAAAAAGATGATCATTTGATTTCAAAACAAGAAAGGGACAAAAAAGAGGCGAGAACTTGCTAGGGCAGTGATTCCTGAACTTTGCGCTTCACGGGAGCGCTTCATAATTAATTTAACCAAGACACCAATAGTCATACTTAAGTCATACTTTTACTTAGGTTAGGGCATCGTGGAAACATTGTGTTTGAAAAAAGGCGCCGCGGCCAAGAAGAGTTTGGGAAACACTGTGCTAGAGTATAGAGCCCAACGAGTTTCTGGAGTCCAAGCCTATACCTCTGGAAAATAAGAATAATTGAAATAAAAATGCTGGAATTGTTACTGCAACACGCAGCTAACTTTCTACAGTCGGGGGGTGTCAAGAATCTATCTTCCTTATCTTCTTCATCTGATTATAGACATATATCGATAAGGATACACAAGTGATCTGAAGTCGGTTTCCATGACAAAGTGTGCATGGCATCTCCTGTCATGTTTGTATTCTTCCATTAACATTTCTCTGGTCTTTCTCCAGGTTTTCTTAGGTCATCAACGTCCCCTTTCTTCCATCTGCTTTCCGTCAGAGACCTGTTTTTGCCAGTGTCACGAGACATTTTGCAAACATGTCCAAGCCAAATCCCTCTTCTTCCCTTGATAACACTTCGCAGTGACCAACATTTTGTTTTCCTCATCAGTTATTCATTGGGTATCTTGTTTGGGCCTTAATGTGCTGGAGTCTTCTGGGACAAATAGTCTAGACAATTTCTAGTTTGTGTGTAATTTTTTTTTTGGGGGGCCATGTTTCAATCACTGAAATCAAGCATATGCTTAGAAAATAGATAGAAATCGGCACCTAGACAAATTTTAAAAAAATGACCTTGGCTACCAGATAGTCCCAGTCCAAAAAAAGTACAAGGAAGTGTCCCGCAAAATAAAGGTGAACTGTGCGATTTGGACTACAATGAGTGCCAGCTGATCTGTAAATGTAATCGTTTAGTCGTGGTGACCTGGGAGAGAGCATTGATGTAAGGTTAGCTCTCGGAAAACGAGGCAGACACAATGGTGCATACAAGCCACTGAAGATGTATTAGCTATGAAAGCACGCAGGGCTAGTGAACGAGAGACTGAGATCTGTCTTGACGAAAGTGACGTTCTGTAATGGACCAGCTGATTGCTGATAAGGGTGAGCACCATGCAGTCGATGTGGCCGGCCAGTTAAATGAGTTCCTTCCTGTATCTACTTATTCCCCTTTGCCGATGTTGTTTCCAAACAAACTGGCAGTTTGTGTCAAGGCAAGACCATGTGTGATCTGTGATGGTAAAGTTAAACTGTAAGGTTGGTTGACTTAAACCTTGCTGAGGTTAAGCCGTGCACAACCCCTAGTGGTTCATGAGTGAGAGAAAATAACACTTGTGTTGTGTTTGTTTAGATGACGCATTCAAGAGAGGACTGAGGGCTGAGGTCAGGGGGCGACGGCACAAGGGCTTCAGGCACTTTGAGCCCACACACCCCAATATTTAAAGGGGGGGGGGGTGGCGGGGGTGTTGAGCGCACACCAGCGTAAAAAGTCTATGGTTAAGCACCAGAAAGGAAATCAAAATTCAGTTTTTGAGGGCATGCATCTTTCCTGTAGCAACATACAGATATGAGTGGTGGACTACCTCCTTGTCCTTAAGAGAGAGGCGTTTGAGCTCAAATACTAAGAAAGATTCTCAGAATACTATGGACAAAGAAGAGAAGAAATACTGACATAAAAAAATCTTCACATCAAGGAAGATTGGCTAATAAACAGCATCTTGTCTCGGAAGTTAAAATATTGCGGACATATCAAACGCCATGGTGCATTGGAAACAATAATGGCAGAAGGCATGGTACCAGAAAGGAGGGGCAAAGGCAGACCAGCACGAAGATGGGCACAGGATATAACTGACTCCTTGAATATGAAAGTTCACGAGGCGGGAGAGCTGGTGAGAGACCGAGTTTCTTTCAGGCAGACCGTGATGAGAGCAATGTTCCTCAAAGGATCTGCTACTTGATGATGGTAATGATGATGAGCCCGCCTCCTTATGTAACAAATTTGCATAGAATGAACTAACAAATACACTTTATTTTCAAAGAATTAAAAATTTATATATATATAGGACTAATAACAGATGTTTTCTTATTTGTGTCATCATTTGTGGCTTAAGCGTTCCAAACTGGCTTCTTAATTCCGACATACCGGATTCGATTCCAGTTGCGGGCGATGTGACGCTACCACCGCCACCGCCACTACCACCAACACCACCGCTGCTGCTGCTGCTACTATTATTTTCTTTATTATTTCTGATCGCCCCCCCCCCCCCCCCATTATCTGTGTGTAGCGTTGCCCTTGATTTCGTTATGTGTATGTGAACTATGTGACCTCTCGCATCGTATTCACAAACAGTTGATAGATTTTTATCTTCTCTGACATGTCTTTGATTATACTTAATATGTGGACCTGTGAAAGAGAATCAAACACATTCCTCCGAATCATCATCATCATCATCGTCTACGTCATCAAGTGCCTTGTCGGCTGGCTTTGGCTATCATACCTCGCTACAATCTGCAGTCTTCAACAGGATCTATCAGTTCGTGTACTAACACGGCTGCATACCATGATAACAGTCTATCACGAATTGTGCGTTGTCTTCCTGTCTTTATTCACAGGTCTTTCCAGTGGTCACTACATGTTCATTCTCCTCACATGACCAAACATGATGACTGTCTCTTTTTACTGTTTGTGATGTCTTCAGTTCCTCGCCTCAACTAAAACAGTTGAGTTGCTCCTCTGAATCAAGAGAGTATGGAAAGACTCTGGCGTTGGGTAGAACACACATTAGGTAAACCTGATAACAATGTAACTGGAATGTCTTTGCATTGGAACTTGCCCACACAGCGAAAGTTCCTTTCCCTCCAGTTCACGCCGCAGCTGGTCGCACAGCCTGTCCTATGATGTGGGGGTGTTATAAGATAACGGTGAAACCGTTGGAAAATAAGTAATACATGATACCCCCACGACATAGGACAAGCCGTGCGACCGGCCGTGGCATTAATGGAATGGGGAAGAAACTCTCCCCGTGGTGGCAAGTCTGTGACAAATACCAAAAAGTACCAAAAGGCTAAAGGCCACAGGAGGGAACAACGTAATTTGGCGAAACATAGGGAGGACGTAGGGCGAGCAAAAGATGGATCGTCGTCGTGGCGAGTATTGGTTATGGGCCTACACTCCATACAGGGGATAAATGGAAATGGTAGAAGAAGAGGAAGAGAAGAAAAAGTAGAAGGTATAAAATAGCTAAACCTAGAAAGACCTAAGTGTACTCTTGACACATTTTCAGGTATGGAGTGTCGTTGCAGAGACCGTTGATTCCCTTATAAATGTAGCGGCGAGACGTGATCACTTCACACGAGTAAGCGTCAGCAGGTAACGATTACACTGGAGAGGATGTTACGTGATATCTCTCCTTGTCACCTGGCTGAGCAGAGTATACGTGCGCAGCTAGCACCGTAGACTGGTAACTGGTAGCTTTCACACGTTATAGTTCTGCATGAGTGGCGTAAGAATGCAGCCAGCGTTAATTTTTGCTATTTATGAGACGTAAACTGAGTTGATTTATTTGTAATAAATGGTAAACGATAATAATAAATAGTAAATAATGTATTTTTCTTTTGAAAAATTAAAAGTGTAGGGGGCAATTACATCGTTACACGCATGTCCCACTACTGTATGCATGAGTTGGACATTCAATTTCTTCTGGTCTGTTAATTTTGAAATAGACTATTTCCTTTTTAAATTAATTTTTAAATTAATTTTTAAATTTTAATTTTAGTTTCCTAATTTTTTTTATATTTTTAGCGCGGCAATTGCTATGCCCAATTACCAGCGTCCTCCAGTGAGACAGACGGGGTCGAGGTCCAGCACCCCGTTACGAGGGGCGGCAGTGAATCCAGGGCTTCCCGCCAGACGATCGGCCGGCAGTTCTGCTGCCCGACGGGTCAGCCAGGGAGAGCAAGGGGAAGCCATCGTCGCTGCTGCTTTACGGAGCGAGTCTCCGGTCATGGCGGAGCTGGCTTGTATGTCTGCATCCAGCTGTGAGGTGGGTGTTTGTGGATTCATTGTTTGTGGATTCATTGTTTGTGGTTTCATTGTTTGTGGTTTCATTGTTTGTGGATTATGTGTCTCACGCTCCTTCTTCGGCTGCTCCTACTTCTCCTCCTCCTCCTCCTCCTCCTCATTCTTCTTCTTCTTCTTCTTCTTCTTCTTCTTCTTCTTCTTCTTCTTCTTCTTCTTCTTCTTCTTCTTCTTCTTCTTCTTCTTCTTCTTCTTCTTCTTCTTCTGTTTCTTCTTCTTTTTCTTCTTCTTCTTCTTCTAAATGGCATAATTGCGTTCGGCTTGTTTACAGTATTATATTTGCACTAAGGGTATGATTATTATTACATACTCAGAAAAGTTTCAGACCGGTTTAATCCTCCCCCTAAAAACAGGGGAAGCACACTCCCCTTCAAGGTTTCTTTATGACGGCGCTCCCCATCCACAGGATAGACTATTTTGAATTCATGGCATTCACGACCAGAACTTGCAGTTCTAACTGTGTATCCTTCTAGACCAGTGTTCTTCAACCTTTCAACATCTACGGACTGGCCTGGCAGGGACAATTATTTAGCGGACGACCTGATAAACAGAAAAATGTTATTTGTTAGTTTATTTGTTAAATTCGGTGTTTAGCGTTAGAAAGAAAGTGCGCAACAATGAAATACAGTAATCGCGTAGCTGCTGCATCGCAGGTTCCAAACCCGCGGGTCGCCACTCCAAAAGGGGTCGCAAAGAGTTGTTTTGTTTGGTCGCTAGGTAGTAATAAGCTGTGACACTTTTACAGGGGAGAAGAATTAACATCATTGAATCCTGCACAGAAATTTGTTTGCGAAATGCGGGCGCTGTTTGGTTTGTGATTGACCGCGCCTTAGTGATATATGCGCACTGAGTTCTTAGCCTTGTTTTGCCAACCAACCCTCCCCCCTCCCCCTCACCCTCCCCCTTTTTGTTTCTTGATCTAACTATGAAAGGGGAAACACATCTTCATGTGAAAACTAAAACAAACCAACAACAACAACAAAATAAAAATGAAAATGATTAACACTTGAGAATGGCATCAGGTCACTTGGCGTTTAAATGGGAGCACGGTTAGAAAGAGGCAGGGAATTGCTAGGCTACATGAGTAGGCAAACATGGTTTTAGAACCAGTGTTTTATACAGCAGTGGTAATGACGAGTCTTCTTGCACGCGTACACTTGTACGTGATGAGGGTTCTGATTGCTTCCACGTCTGAACGCCTGGATTGTCAGTCATGTGATAGGTACGTTTGACATCAGCAGCTTGTACCCGTCATTCAGGCACGCGTCAATTGGGGGGTGACAACAGCGGAATTGACATTTTAGCAATTGTCACACTTGACGTTTTTTTGTTTGTTTTTGTTTCTCCTGAAGTGAATCTTGAACCTTTAGCCAATTAGTAACAATTGTGTGGAGGTAGTATATATTATAAACACATAGATCTGTTTTGATCAGCACTCGTAGAAAGAAGTAGAAAGTTAGAAGGACATATTAAACGACATGGAAATCAAAAGCTGTAAGTTACAATGCCGGGAATCAAATCTTTCACCTCCAGATGAGAAAGCGCCTTGCAGCAGGAACTAGTATACGAAGATCATGACCAGCTAGTAACCCCTAAAACAAATATAGTCATTAGCCAGGTCTGTCACACACCTTGATCCTACAACTAGGGGATACGTGCAGAATTTCTCTCAAACCATTGACGTAGTACCACAGGCTAGAGCCATTCGTTTGAACCAAGCGTGTGTGCGCAGCAGACTCAGTTTAATTGTTAAGTGGAAGCTTTACACATGCATGTGGTTTTGCGAACGATTATAGCACCACTGACAGATAACGTGAGTCAAGAAGATGTTTACCACTGAGAGCTGACAACAAACACCAAGAAACGATCTACATTCTTTGGTCATGTCATGAGTAGGAGCAAACTGCTGTAGCTCATGACTCTGTGAAAGTTAGAAAGGGAAAGAGGCAAAGTGAGACAGGCATAGAGAAGATGCTGGACAGTTTGACATTATAGCTTGGAAGGTCAACTGTTTCGAAATGACTGAAAGTACCCAAGATATAATGCTGCGAAAGACATGACTTCCAACGCCACTTGGCATGGGCCCACTAGGAAGTAGAAATAGAAGGAGGAGAAGGAGTAGAAGAATAAGAATAAGAAGAAGGAAAATAAGAAGAAGGAGGGTAGGAAGTAGAAGGAGTGGTGGTAGTAGTAGTAGTAGTAGTAGTAGCAGCAGCAGCAGCAGCAGTAGTAGTAGTAGTAGTTGTAGTAGTTGTAGTAGTAGTAGTTGTAGTAGTAGTAGTAGTAGTAGTAGTAGTAGTAGTAGTAGTAGTAGTAGTAGTAGTAGTAGTAGTAGTTGTTGTTGTTGTTGTTGTTGTTGTTGAGATTCATCGCTAATGTTGGTATAGCATCTATTGACAATCAAATACCAGGTACTTATTTAGATTCCGTTGCGTCTTGGCCGCAACCAGTTCCTGGTCTAACTACCAATGGTCCTTTGCTTATTAACTAGTGTTTAACTGCGAAAGGATCAACTTCATTGTGCCGGGTGTTGTTCCAAATTTCTCTGTTTCTATTCGCCAGTGAGAGCGTTACACAAAGCACGAACTCCGCAGCAACGAACTATAGGAATGTGTGTCACACCTGTACTTGCGAACAACATTTAGTTCAACATCAAACCAGAAATATTCAGAGCATAGGGTAAAACGGTTTGGCCACTTTGCCATTGAGGTCCATACTTACTTCCCGTTACCACTTCTTCTTCTTCTTCTTCTTCTTCTTCTTCTTCTTCTTCTTCTTCTTCTTCTTCTTCTTCTTCTTCTTCTTCTTCTTCTTCTTCTTCTTCTTCTTCTTCTTCTTCTTCTTTTTTCTTCTTCTTCTTTCTTCTTCTTCTTTCTTCTTCTTCTTTCTTCTTCTTCTTCTTCTTTCTTCTTCTTCTTCTTCTTCTTCTTCTTCTTCTTCTTCTTCTTCTTCTTCTTCTTCTTCTTCTTCTTCTTCTTCTTCTTCTTCTTCTTCTTCTTCCTCCTCTTCTTCTTCCTTCTTCTTCTTCTTCTTCTTCTTCTTCTTTCTTCTTCTTCTTCTTCTTCTTCTTCTTCTTCTTCTTCTTCTTCTTCTTCTTCTTCTTCTTCTTCTTCTTCTTCTTCTTCTTCTTCTTCTTCTTCTTCTTCTTCTTCTTCTTCTTCTTCTTCTTCTTCTTCTTCTTCTTCTTCTTCTTCTTCTTCTTCTTCTTCTTCTTCTTCTTCTTTTTCGTCGTCTTCTTCTTCTGTTGCTTCTTCTTTCTCCTCCTCCTCCTCGTCCTTCTTCTTCTTCTTCTTCTTCTTCTTCTTCTTCTTCTTCTTCTTCTTCTTCTTCTTCTTCTTCTTCTTCTTCTTCTTCTTCTTCTTCTTCTTCTTCTTCTTCTTCTTCTTCTTCTTCTTCTTCAACAGCAGCAGCAGCAGTAGCACTCTGTAGCCTTAAATTTCGTTGCTGCAGATATCACCTGCCTGCATTCATCTCTATGACTGGCCTTCTCTTTCCGCTTGGTAACTCCAGCTGTCTGTTGGTCGACTTGTCTATTATCTCTGCCGATCTTCTTGGTCTGCCGCGTGGACTGCAATCATTTAACTGTTTTATTTACCTAGTGTGTGGACTCTCTGTTGTATGACAATCTCTCTATGTGGCCCCGACCATCGCAGATCATTAGCCCTCCTACCGACATCTCAGTCGGTCAGTTCTTAATACAATGTGTCTTTCGTCACGGCACACCTGAAAGTCTCTCTTTCTCCAGCCAGTTTCCCCAGCCCTATGTTCTTTCATATCCAGTGCATCTTCTGTGTCTTGTACCCACCTTCTGCCCTTGTGTTCTGAAAATTGTATCCTCCTTCGCCGTTTTTGTTTTTCAAGACTATCATGAAGTTTATAACATGGCCAAAATACCTCAGCTTTCAGGATAGACTGCTGTAAATGAACCAGTTCTCCCCAGTGTTCAGATCATTAAGATGTCGATGTTTTTCTTCCTCTTACATACTCAACGATAATATAACGGGAACAACTGCAAAAGGCACTGAATTATTTGTTTGAAAAAAAAAAAAATGTATATCGGTGACCCATTTTATATTGGGGCGACCTATTTTGTTGCTGACATTTCATACCTGAACGGCAGTGGCTGTTAAAGAAAGACTTTGTACCTTAGCAAACCTGGTTTGGTGGGTCTCGCCTTAGCTGGGGACATTCAATCCGTGTGTTCCCTTTCCCATGACACACTCAACAGGAAAGTTCGGATTAACAGGTAATGATTATTTTATCAGGGAAGCGCCCAACTGAAAATAGACCTTCTGGCAACGGTTCTGACTTTCCAGTAATGGCTATGAGCTCATGCTATCTACAAGAACGTATCTCTATAATGCGCGGCCGCACACGCACTCGCGCGCGCACACAAACACACAATTCTTGTTCCTTCACCCTCTCTCTCTATCTCTCTCTCTCTCTCTCTCCTTATATATATATATATATATATATATATATATATATATATATATATATATATATATATATATATATATATACCAGGTGCCGTCTCCACAGTGAAGGTTGGCTGTATTAGATCTCCAACACGCTCTGTCTCTTCTCTTGGTTATACATTCTCTCAGACTGCTTTTTATGCATCTGTTTATGTTAGTCCTCCCACTTGTATAGTTGTCTATTTCTTGCTCTCTTTCTCTCGACATTCCCTTACAATTTGTTTTTTTATATACGTCTTTTCATTGGCAGTCTCTCCAAGACCTCATGTATTTCTTCTTCTTCTTCGCGTTCACCAGCTGTAAACTCGGGCGACTGTGTTTCCATGAAATACAAGGTCCGACAATTAAGCAATGAGAATGAGCAATGGGACATTTTATTATGGCCAAGACAAAAATGCCATGAAGTAAAGCATGGAATCTAAAGAGGCAACATTTATCTATGATCTGGCAACTTTTCATCGCCGCTGGATAAGCAGACAACAAACAATTTTGTTGACCTAGTCAGATGTGCATTGTTACGTAATCAGCACTGAGCAAAAATCTAACATTAAATTCTTTTTTAAGACTCAGAAAAAGCGCCACTGAAACAGTTGAATTGATGCAACAAGTTTATGGGGATAATTATTTATCTCGTGCATACAATTTCAGGTGGTATTCACGATTCAAAAGTGGCGTGGAAATGATTACTAATGCACCTAGACCTGGACGCCAAATTTCTGTTCGTAATAATGAACTCTTTGCAAAAGTCAGAGAAGGATAGAAAAAGATAATTGGTTTACTGTGAGGATGATGGCAGATAAATCTGTTGTTAATAGAGAGACCATTCATACAATTTTTAGTGCCTGATTTTGGCAAGAAAAAAGTTGCTTGCTGGTTTGTACCAGACTCGTTATCTGATGACCAAAAACATCAGCTTTTTGAGTACCCAAGATATGTCATCAAAACAAGAATTTTGGACAAAAATCAAGTGTGTGTTCCCAACCTTCCACCCCATTCCCCAGATTTGTCTCCCTGTGATTATTTTCTATTCCCAAAATTAAAGTTACGATTGAAAGGACGCCTCTCTAACGATATTGATGCCATCTAAAGGGCCGTTACATCAACTTTAAGGGCCATTACAACAGAACTACCGAGGTCGTTCAAGTGTTGGTTAGATCGTGCCACTTGCTGTATCGATGCACAAGGGCTTGAATCAGATACAGGTTATATCTTAAACTGTTGATTATTTTAATTTTCATGGAATTAGTCTCATTACTTAATTGTCGGATCTTGTACGACATATTCTTCTGTATGTCCGCGTTTCCAGAAATTTAGTTTGACTTTTTGGTTGCATATTTCATGTCCAGAATGACAGAATTATGTAAAGTAGTGACAGCGCTGTGGGAGTCGCCGTAGTGTAGTGCCTAGGCACTCGCCTGTCGATCTGAAGGTCATGGGTTCAGATGCCGACGGTGCTAGACTGTCTACTTGTGTGTCCATGAGCCGAGCTGCATAGTTGTAGTTCGTGCTCATTCACGCTTTGAGGTTAGCCTTTTCTCTGACCTAAGGCCAGACTGTTTACCTGTCACTCTGCAGGTCGTCGGTTCGTTACGGACGCCTCGTTCAGTTTCCCAGTGCAGATTTTTACTGACATCCTGAGGATCGTGGCTAGTTCGTCCTTTTTTTTTTTTTTTGACGTTTTCGGCACGGCTGTCCGTTTTGCAGAGAGAGAGAGAGAGAGAGAGAGAGAGAGAGAGAGAGAGAGAGAGAGAGAGAGAGAGAGAGAGAGAGAGAGAACGAACAAACTTAATTCCAAAGGGTCACAAACTGAGGACGCATGTCCGTCTTACATTTGGCCCTTTCAAACACTAATTTTTCACACGGCATTGTGTGCTAATGTATCGATATATATATATATATATATAGAGAGAGAGAGAGAGAGACCCAGCTATATGAGTACACACCGTGACCATAAATTCGATCCCTCAGCTGAACTGGAACTGTTAACTTCATTGATGCATATCCTGAGGAGAGTTGGCGTTTGTTTGGCAACCTCATCCCGTAGATAACAAGCTGAAAAAAAAAACCGACCCCAGGGGTATCTACACAGAGCCTGGCTTGAGTTGGTTGAGAGCCTATGCTCCATATGGAGATTCAAGGCAGACGAAGAAGAGAACAGCAAAGGTGTTCGGAACCCCAAGTTGAGAACCACGTCTGGTCGTACCAGTCTGCCGCTCTTTCTCTCTCCCTGCACGTTTACAAACATGCACACAAAATGACGTACCGAACTGGTGAATAATCTCATCACGTGAACAGATTTGCATATCTAAATAAGCAGACGATTTGACCCTTATTTCGTCCAGTGCCAGGCTTTCTAGTTTCTGTCAACGTCCGTTACAGCTATCTTTGTCATTGGGTAATGTCTCTATAACTCCCCCCCCCCCCCATACCTCTCCACTTACAACGCCTTCCACATAACCCACCTGGTGCAGTGACAAGCAGCTATTTTTAAACCTCTTTGTCGCAGATGAAAGGTCGTTTTTTATTTTGCCTTCTTTAGCGCGGGGTGCAGTGTCAATCGACCTTGACAGAGAAACGTTTGTTCGACCTGTCACATGCACTGGTGACGAATTTGGGCAACACTTTGGCTAACTTTACCAGGTAATACAGTCTAAACATCTATTGATGCTTACGTCAGGTCAGTAAACACCATTGGCTAGAAGGCTGAACACAAATGTGACGAAGAAGACCAACGCTACACGACCTGGACTATCAGTGCTAATACAAGAGACAGTGATTCATTCATGTTACCGTTTAGAATGACTGAATTTGCTGTTTTAAATCAGTAAATCTGGGTCTGAAATCGTCGGATTTCACATTTAGAATGGAGAAGCTTGGTGATTCAGTTGAGAAATAACTAATTAAAAGTGGACCGTTTCTAGTTGGATATTGTTAAATCTGGTTTTGGGTCGATAGTTTGAAGTTAATCAAACTTCTGAATCGATTTCATACAAGTAGATATATAGAACCTCCGCCAGGAATAGATTGCATTTCTAAATCATAAACATTAGCTCAAAGTTAAGAAACTCTAAGCTAGAACTAGTTAAATACCATAATCGTTACACTGTCATTTGCAGTAGATGAAACTACTGAATCGATCAACTTTAGCTCGGAATGAAAGAAACCCAGTTTGAACTAAATAAATTCCACAATCGATAATCCGCAGTTTGGAATTGAATTTCCCGCGTTAAAGCAAGCACGCACATGAGTCATCAGCCCGCCCAATTCTCTATCTAGCCCGTAAACAAACCAAAAAGTCGGGAACTGAACGGTCGCTGGTACACCCAAGGTTATTGATTATTATGCTAGCACCGTTGCGCAGCAGCTGATTGTAGCCCTAGTTCCAGCTGCCAGTTTGTGCTGCTTGAGGTTACCGTGCAACAATCAAGATGTTGTTCGTTGAGAGCCGATTATCGCCTTTGTCTCCGAGTTATGGACACAAGTTTGAGGTAATTATGCTCTGTTTCTTTTGGGAGCCACGGCTGGTCATGTTTGTTTAGTTTTACTGTAAGTAATTGTTCTGTCTTGTCAACTTTGCTTAGTTCAGGACTGATTAAGTTTATATCTGGTCAGATTTGTTTAGTTTAGGCGTTAGTGTGTCTGGTCATGTTTATTTAGTTTCGGTGTAAGTAAGTTTATGACCTGTCATCCTTGTTTTAATTAAGGTGTATGTAAGTTACTGTCTGGTCATATGTAGTTTAGCTGTTAGTATATGTAGGTTTCTGTCTGGTCATATGTAGTTTAGCTGTTAGTGTATGTAAGTTTCTGTCTGGTCATATGTAGTTTAGCTGTTAGTGTATGTAAGTTTCTGTCTGGTCATATGTAGTTTAGCTGTTAGTGTATGTGAGTGTATGTCTGGTCATATGTAGTTTAGCTGTTAGTGTATGTGAGTGTATGTCTGGTCATATGTAGTTTAGCTGTTAGTGTATGTGAGTGTATGTCTGGTCATATGTAGTTTAGCTGTTAGTGTATGTAAGTTTCTGTCTGGTCATGTGTAGTTTAGCTGTTAGTGTATGTAAGTGTATGTCTGGTCATATGTAGTTTAGCTGTTAGTGTATGTAAGTTTCTGTCTGGTCATGTGTAGTTTAGCTGTTAGTGTATGTAAGTTTCTGTCTGGTCATATGTAGTTTAGCTGTTAGTGTATGTAAGTTTCTGTCTGGTCATGTGTAGTTTAGCTGTTAGTGTATGTAAGTTTCTGTCTGGTCATATGTAGTTTAGCTGTTAGTGTATGTAAGTTTCTGTCTGGTCATGTGTAGTTTAGCTGTTAGTGTATGTAAGTTTCTGTCTGGTCATGTGTAGTTTAGCTGTTAGTGTATGTAAGTTACTGTCTGGTCATATGTAGTTTAGCTGTTAGTGTATGTATGTTTCTGTCTGGTCATATGTAGTTTAGCTGTTAGTGTATGTAAGTGTATGTCTGGTCATGTGTAGTTTAGCTGTTAGTGTATGTAAGTTTCTGTCTGGTCATATGTAGTTTAGCTGTTAGTGTATGTAAGTGTATGTCTGGTCATATGTAGTTTAGCTGTTAGTGTATGTAAGTTTCTGTCTGGTCATATGTAGTTTAGCTGTTAGTGTATGTAAGTGTATGTCTGGTCATGTGTAGTTTAGCTGTTAGTGTATGTATGTTTCTGTCTGGTCATGTGTAGTTTAGCTGTTAGTGTATGTAAGTTTCTGTCTGGTCATATGTAGTTTAGCTGTTAGTGTATGTAAGTTTCTGTCTGGTCATATGTAGTTTAGCTGTTAGTGTATGTAAGTTTCTGTCTGGTCATATGTAGTTTAGCTGTTAGTGTATGTATGTTTCTGTCTGGTCATATGTAGTTTAGCTGTTAGTGTATGTAGGTTTCTGTCTGGTCATATGTAGTTTAGCTGTTAGTGTATATATGGTCTGGTTTATTTAGGGTAATTATTACTGTATGTAAGGTCATGTTTGTTTTAGTTTGGGTGCAGTTGTATATTTGTTTAATTTAGGAGTTATTGTAAATTTGGTCATGTTTGTTTAGGAGTAATTATATGTGTGGTCATGTTTGTTTAGTTTAGATGGAAGTGTATGTCTGGGCTTGATTTAGAGTTTAGATGTATTTAGGTTAGTGTGCTTCTATGTTTTAACAGTTTGTATGTCTAGTAACAGTGTTATATCTAGAGAGTTGATTTCTTTCAGCTATAGTCACTCAGCTATAGTCACGCAGCTATAGTCACCCAGCTATAGTCACCCAGCTATAGTCACTCAGCCATAGTCACCCAGCTATAGTCACCCAGCTATAGTCACCCAGCTAGTCACTCAGCTATAGTCACCCAGCTATAGTCACCCAGCTAAAGTCACTCAGCTATAGTCACCCAGCTATAGTCACTCAGCCATAGTAACCCAGCTATAGTCACCCAGCTATAGTCACCCAGCTAGTCACTCAGCTATAGTCACCCAGCTATAGTCACCAAGCTAGTCACTCAGCTATAGTCACCCAGCTATAGTCACCCAGCTAGTCACTCAGCTATAGTCACCCAGCTATAATCACCCAGCTAGTCACTCAGCTATAGTCACTCAGCTATAGTCACCCAGCTAGTCACTCAGCTATAGTCACCCAGCTAGTCACTCAGCTATAGTCACCCAGCTATAGTCACCCAGCTATAGTCACCCAGCTATAGTCACCCAGCTATAGTCACCCAGCTATAGTCACCCAGCTATAGTCACCCAGCTATAGTCACCCAGCTATAGTCACTCAGCTATAGTCACCTAGCTAGTCACGCAGCTATAGTCACGCAGCTATAGTCACCCAGCTATAGTCACCCAGCTATAGTCACCCAGCTATAGTCACCCAGCTAAAGTCACCCATCTACAGTCACCCAGCTAAAGTCACTCAGCTATAGTCACCCAGCTAGTCACTCAGCTATAGTCACCCAGCTATAGTCACCCAGCTATAGTCACCCAGCTATAGTCACCCAGCTATAGTCACCCAGCTATAGTCACCCAGCTATAGTCACCCAGCTATAGTCACTCAGCTATAGTCACCTAGCTAGTCACCCAGCTATAGTCACCCAGCTATAGTCACCCAGCTATAGTCACCCAGCTATAGTCACCCAGCTAAAGTCACCCATCTATAGTCACCCAGCTAAAGTCACCCATCTATAGTCACCCAGCTATAGTCACCCAGCTATAGTCACCCAGCTATAGTCACTCAGCTAAAGTCACCCAGCTAGAGTCACCCAGCTAGAGTCATCTAGCTATAGTCACCCAGCTATAGTCACCCAGCTATAGTCACCCAGCTAAAGTCACCCAGCTATAGTCACCCAGCTATAGTCACCCAGCTATAGTCACCCAGCTATAGTCACCCAGCTATAGTCACCCAGCTATAGTCACCCAGCTATAGTCACCCAGCTATAGTCACCCAGCTATAGTCACCCAGCTATAGTCACTCAGCTAAAGTCACCCAGCTAAAGTCACCCAGCTAGAGTCATCCAGCTATAGTCACCCAGCTAAAGTCACCCAGCTAGAGTCATCCAGCTATAGTCACCCAGCTAGAGTCATCCATCTATAGTCACCCAGCTAAAGTCACCCATCTATAGTCACCCAGCTATAGTCATCCATCTAAAGTCACCCAGCTAAAGTCGCCCATCTATAGTCATCTAGCTATAGTCACCCATCTATAATCACCCATCTATAGTTACCCAGCTAAAGTCACCCATCTATAGTCACCCATCTATAGTCACCCATCTAAAGTCATCTAGCTATAGTCACCCAGCTATAGTCACCCATCTATAATCACCCATCTATACTCACCCAGCTAAAGACACCCATCTATAGTCACCCAACTATTGTCATCCATCTATAATCACCCATCTATAGTTACATATCTAAAGTCACCCAGCTATAGTCATCCATCTAAAGTCACCCAGCTATAGTCACCCATCTATAGTCACCCAGCTAAAGCCACCCATCTATAGTCACCCATCTATAGTCACCCATCTAAAGTCACCCAGCTATAATCATCTAGCTATAGTCACCCAGCTATAGTCATCTAGCTATAGTCACCCTGCTCTAGTCACCCAACTATAATCACCCATCTAAAGGCACCAGCTATAGTCACCCAGCTCTAGTCATCCAACTATAGTCACCCAGCTCTAGTCACCCAACTATAATCACCCATCTATGGTCACCCAACTATAGTCACCCAACTTTAGTCATCCAGTTTGCCCGGCTGCTAGCTAGTGTTGTTGGTTAAACCTGACTTCGTGGCGACTGTGTGACAAACTCCTTATGGTCCGGGTTCACAACCAGGGGTAGGCAGAAAAGCCATATTTCTCTCAGATTTACGGTTTCTATCATGGAATCAATGCCGATTGCTTGCGATATCTATAGTACTGAGCCAAAGCGTTAACAACTTATGGTTTCTAGATATTTGAAAAATAGTCACCCAGCTATAGCCATCCCTTCCTCTCTGGCCTTTATTGGTGGTATAACCAACAGATATCAAACCAGACGATAAGTAGAACTAGTCAGCTTCACGTCATCACAATCACAGCGGCAGTGACATGGTACAACCAAATAGCGACTTAACCCACCAAGAAAACATTAATACAATCTAGTATCCAAGAAAGGTGGCTGGATACCCACAACAGATTTTCTTCCCGAGACTCACTTCATTGCCTCTCTAGAGAGGGACAGTGTATCATATTCAGATTAAGGACTGGGCACAACAGATTTCGTCAACATATGTTCAAATTTTTCGGTGTAGGAAATACGGAGACGTGTCCCTGCAGCGTGGCACCCGAAAATGCTGAGCATGTGCTCCAACACTGTCAACTGTATGCTGACAACAGAGACGCAATCTGGCCTGTTCCAACCACAATGAAGACAAAACTGTATGGTACACGAGAGGATATGGATTGCACGTTAGCTTTCATAAAGGCTACCGGCCTCCTGATATAAGTTTTCTGTCAGAAGGATCGAAGAAGAAGAAGACCAACAGATATCGAACCAGACGATAAGTAGAACTAGTCAGCTTCACTTTATCACAATCACCAACAGATATCAAACCTGTTGAGTTGAGTTGAGTTGATTCAAGAACCGACATCACATAGCTCAGGCACCCACATAAGCTCTCCGTCCTCATCTTCAGCAGCCAGCGAAGAGTTCCGATACTGATGGTGCCAGTAGCATTCTGGTTAAACGTCCGTCTTGTCTTTCCTCTGAGCCTCGACCATTAACTTTTGCTAAGAAACCCCAAGCACTTACTTCTTTTGTCCTTTGACATTGAACCGTCTGTGTAAATGATCAAATCATCTGAGCCAGCATCATCTTGAATGAATTGCTGAATTTCCACTTATGTGGCACCTGCTGGCTAGTCTCTGCATTCCCAGCTCAGTGTGAGTATGACCCTAAACAAGTCTGACTGTTCAGGTGGCACTTTGACCCACTCCTCTCCTCGACTAATGTTTTTAAGGATGCAAACCTGTCTGT